AATGTTTGACAGTTTGTTGATTCAGTATCCACTCTTGAGATTCCTTGCTTGGATGATTTGTCAGACGAAAATCGGCAACTCCTATGTTAATTCTTTTAAACGATAATCATCTAAAGAACAGATCCATAGAGTATTTTGTTCGTTAATCAAACTATAGGCCTACATCTTGTCTTGTGTTATTGCGTGGAGCGCAGAAGCTGAAAAGCAGCGCAGGAAACAACGCTGTGATCTGCGACCCAGGTGCGTAGGCTATCTATGTTATAAATATGCAAATATAAGCAAACGTGTTAACTGAATTAGAGAACAACAGATAGTATGGGTGAGAAAATACAAGTTAATTAGGTCACATGATCTGATTGTTGTCAGTCGGGTGCACGTGCGGCATTTTCTCAAAAATAATTCCAAGGCTGCGTCTCAAATTAGTAATCTCCCTGGTTCTGTAGTCAGGGCACTGATCAGGGAGTCGGACATTTTAACAGCTACCTATAGAGGGAATGCATTAACGTCACTTCCCCGCCGGAACACGCCCCCCTCAGCCGGACTGAGTGGCAGAAGAGCTGCTGCGTGACTGGAGTTAATAGGGGAAACTGCGAAAACGCGAGTAAAACAAACTATTATCAGTTTAAACTAAAAGTTGGACTCGATATAGTGTTCCTTACAACTTATCAAAGATCCAGTGATCCATGGATATTGACATGCAGCCAGGAATCGTGTTTCCTGACATTTATATGTGCCTGATTTCGACGCCGGGGAAATAAATGAAGACAATTTGCCTGTAAACGTTTTATATAAATACAATATAGATAGGTCTAAATCCGAGTGATCACTTACATTAATGTTATACTGTATATCATCATATCGTCCAGCCCTAAAACTTGTATAGTTTTTTGTCAGTGTTTATTTAAAAACATCCAATTATGCAGAATATAGTCTGTTCTGTAGCTTTTTGCAGTCTGTAAAAATATACAGTACCTCAGATTTCTGGTCAAATCTAGTTGTACAGTCAATCGCAAAGCTCTTTCCCGTTTTAGATGTGTTTTGTGTGATTTTCAAGGCATTCACGCTGAAAACAAATGCTGCCGCTCAGTCTTTTTGCCACTTGTGGGCGTGACCGCATTCACTCCGGCCGACGGTGACGTCATGCGCATACCCTCTATTGAGAGTGAGGAGTCACGTGCCGATTTGGGCGGGGTCTGAGCCGGTCGGCCATGATGGTAGGAGACGCTATCGGTTGCCAGCAGGGGCAACGCCTTAAAGGAGAACTCCGGCGCAAAATGAACCTTTGGTCTAATTACACATTGTTACCTAGTCAACCGTTATCTGAGATTTGTTTTCATGATTATCGAATGTAAATAGTTTTATCTCTACAAACCGTTTAGCCTATAAAGCTAGTATAACGCTAGTATATTGGGCATAGTGTAATGACAAATAAAAATCGCTTGTTAATACCACTAACAAGGCTGAAAATAGACCCACACTAACACGGTAGCATAATGAGGGTCCCTACCTTCAAACCGAAGCATTGAGAACTTTGTCAGTGTCCAGACAGTTTAATAAGAAGATATTTTAAACATACAGTCAACTTCGCGTATACAGGCAGAAGCCATCTTTGAAATACAGTCTTTACCAGTCGATCTACGAACGCCGATCCAAGCCTGCTGTTCGCGCTCACCTTATAACAACTTATAGCTCGTTCACATTCTCACCAGCACACTTGGATCGGCGTTCGTAGATCGACTGGTAAAGGCTGTATTTCAAAGATGGCTTCTGCCTGTATACGCGAAGTTGACTGTATGTTTAAAATATCTTCTTATTAAACTGTCTGTACACTTACAAAGTTCTCAATGCTTCGGTTTGAAGGTAGGGACCCTCATTATGCTACCGTGTTAGTGTGGGTCTATTTTCAGCCTTGTTAGTGGTATTAACAAGCGATTTTTATTTGTCATTACACTATGCCCAATATACTAGCGTTATACTAGCTTTATAGGCTAAACTGTTTTTAGAGATAAAACTATTTACATTCGATAATCATGAAAACAAATCTCAGATAACGGTTGACTAGGTAACAATGTGTAATTAGACCAAAGGTTCATTTTGCGCCGGAGTTCTCCTTTAAGAACTTCACTGAGGCGCGACTAAACATTCTAGAAATAGCGCAGCTTAGTATTTGTTTACAGTTTAGCGATACGCCGCAGTTTCTTTGGAAGATATGGAGAAGGAAGAGAAATGAAAGGGGTTCTATCGGGAGAGACTAAATAACAATGCTAGCCAGCTTTATTTAGAGAAACTGCTTGTCAATAAACTGACAGCAGCAACTAGGGTTGCCAACTTCCGAAAAGAAAAATGCGGGACATAGGCTATTACTATATTTTGGCGATTTCGGTTTTGTTGACAGGGGGGGGGGGGGGGGGGGTTGTATCTCGCAGGTCTCTCTCTCTCTCTCCGCGCTACACGGTTTGGCGCTGACGCACATACAGTAGGCTATGTTCTGTCTCGCATGCGCAGCTCTAGATTCTAGGAGATTTGAACTAATTTACGTGTCGTGTTGCTGTTCAGTCAGATCAGCGTAGCACTCAATAATCGGGACAAGAGAGGTCCCGATCGGGACAAATAAATTAGGCCCAAAAATCGGGACGTCCCGGCTAATTCGGGACAGTTGGCAACCCTAGCAGCAACAGCGAGCAAAGCATGATTTCAAAAGCAACACATTTCAGCACAGTTCACCTTTTATTTAACACAAACGAACGAAATTAATACTCTGTTATTCAACTAGAGTTGTTTAATTTGTTATAGATATATCTGTACCGCAAATTTTTTTTAAAAGACACTTTTTTTTTAATGATGTACGACTAGGGTTGCCACCTGTCCCGGTTTTACGGGGATTGTCCTTCTTTTTAATAACTTGTCCCGGGAAATTTATGCACTCTGCCGGGACACTGAATGTCCCGGTTTTCGAAAGGCTACGTGAATATGTTCAAACTGTGTAGCGCGCGCACGACAGAGAGGGAGAGAGCGAGAGACCTTGCATGTGTGTGCTAGTGTGCGTGTGTGCCTCAAAAAGCGCATGTAAGAAGCGCGCATGTAATCGCCTTCCCCCGTTGGGCGGGTCATCGATATGCAAAGAGGAGAATGTAAGATCGAAGTTGAAGTAACCACACACCAAGTAACCGGTCGAAGTAACCATGACAACGGATAGCGTATCCTTCCAAGATGGCGACGCCTTCCCACAATGCAAACGCGTGACGTCACATTCTCATTCTCAATATTAAAGTCCCCATAAATTCAAAATTGACCATACTTACTTTGTTTGCCTAAATTGATCGTTTTGTGGTGAACAATTCATCCATGCAAGTCAATCCACACAAAAAAATTTTTTGGCTTCGTAATCTTTAATCAAAATCTGAAATTTCCCCTCCCCTCTTCATTGGAGGACCTTCCCTGATGATGTAGGTTTGATGGTTTGGGTGTCTGCTTAACATCCGTAACCACGCCCCTCCAACTGACAGTAGACAGGCTGAATGAAAACAAGTACTGTTCTAGATCCAATTAGGTGCTAGTTGGAAAAAAGCCACGCCCACTATTTTGCCTCATTTAGTATTCCATTTCTCTCGGAAATACGTCACAACACTGGAAAAAAGTCGTTTGCAACTTCCGGTTCACGGGGACTTTAAGAGGTAGGGAGAAATTGCAGAATTACGCTTTTACACTTTAAACGTAAGTGTTGGGTTTCAGCTTACTCAAATATCTAATGACATACAATTTTTTTTAAAGCAGTTCAAGTGTTTACTTATATCTAACTAAGTTGCAATTATATATAGTTTATACTCTTTATTTATATACAGAAATGGACTATGGTGAACATTAGACAGTTTGTGAACCCTGTTTTGTCTTCAGAGAGTTTAATATAACTTTCAAAAAAGTCCAGTACAAACGTTACTGCCACTCACCCACGGCAGCTGTCACAGTTGCTAGGCAACAAGAACAGTCCTCCGTAGGCTATAGGCCATCCCATTTAACAATGCTCCGTCTGACCTTCACGGCCTTCGAAGGTTGTAGCCTCTGAAGTCCTGCACACTTACTTTCTGTTTCGTGCTCGTGCTCTCAAGTGACCACCAAGACTGCAATTGTGGGTATTGGCACAAGCCCTTAGACTCATCAGTGATATTCTTATGCATTAGCTACAGTCTAGCACTAGATGTCAGCAATGTGAAGTAGAATTGATGTAAGGTTTGCTCTGAGACAGGTCAGCTGGCATAAGAATGTTTATTGTGAAGGGTGAAGGATGAATGGGTGAAGGATCTAGTGTCAGAGTTTCACTTCCCTCATCAAGGGAAATGACAAAGTGACTGATGCATGAAACCATTTCATTCCTTGGCCAATGCGCAACAAATGAAGTACCCATGAACGTGCACATTAGAAAGCTAATTGGTTTTAGTGTCATGCTAAATTGTGCTTTATTACAGGCAACATCTGTTAGCCTGGATCTGTGTGAAGCCCTTCTCACTTTCAAATGAGACTTTTCTTCTTTCCAAAGACAATTTCCTGTGAGTTTGGCAAATTCAAACACATGATTTTTGTGACTGTAAAACAACTATTTGATCAAAGTCAAATATTGTTGCATCATGTGAAATCCAATCTGTGTCCGTTCAAAAATTCACTCAACTGTGTTTCATAGTGTCATTCCAAGCTGAGTATACATAACTCGCCACGGACTGATATAAAAGGATAGCCATTGTTTCCGCTCATTCAGAGAAAGATGGGCATTTTTAATAGATTCTGGGCATTGGACATAAATCTGAAAATGTACATGACCTCTAGTAATATGTGGTTTTGTCTTCAGAGTTCTTGTCTGCAGCCTGCTGCGGTTGATTGACTCCATTTGCAAATTATTACAGCACTGGAAATTACAGGAATTTGTCCAGTCTTGGTACTATTTGGCATAAGTGACAGAGCATGAGTGCAGAGCTGTAGTGTGGAGCTGTTGTGCTAAATCTATTTGAGATGCAGTTTTATTTTGCAACAGCACATCCATCTGATTGGGGGTGGGAAGGGATTCACTGATGTTGAAAGAAGTATGTGTGTATAGCTTTTTCACAAACAGTAAAAACGAGCATGAAATGCACTTTGATTTCTCTAGCTGTTTGTGTTGTTTTGTTTGTTTACTTGATACAGAAATGAATAATTGTTAAAGAACAGATGCAGCATTAACACATTCCTATTAATCAGAATCACACAGGTTTTTTTTTTTTTTATCAGCTCTGACTGTTCCTCTTTTTGGGTGGCTAGAGGTGGTGCGTCGGTTTTTCTCAGCTTGGTGCTGGAGAAAATTATAATTATGCTGCTCCAGATGGCTTGCATATTGTGTTGCTGTTGGCGGGCCTTGAAAGAGCTTTCGTCTTTATCGCGCAATAAAATCATCTCAGTGAGCAGACACGTCAAACTTAAAGACACCAGCTATAATAACATCTCTGGAGGTTTGCGCGTTTCCTGAGGCCAGCCAGCCCTCCTCTTTCAAAGCGTTGGGGCCGTGAAAACGAGAGTGACACTGATGATGCTCGCGAGAAACTGAGAAACTGTGACTCGTTCTTACTGTTAATCCTGGCGGACAATGCCAAGAAAAGCCCAAGGGGAAAGCTGAATAAGGTCCTTGTCCTTATCAGCTCAGCAGGCTTTCCGAGGACTGAGTGATTGTGGCGCCTCCACCGATCACTTGTGCTCATCGACCTGCCCTATTATCATGTGTGCTCACTGATATAACAGTGACATCAATCTGCCGTGAACCAGACCGTACCTGTGCCAAGTTAAACAATCAAAGCCGTACATAAGGTGCCCTGTAAATTCACACACCCACGCAAAAACGCATGCCCGCAGATTTTTCTCTAGGGACGCAGGAGTTCATTTGGCAGGGAAACCTGTCATGATCTGTGCATGTCATTTTTCTCACCAACGTGCTGTGCTGGGAGTTTTACAGAGCTCACACTTTGCTAGAGGGGCAAACATTTCGACTCATTTCAGACTTCATCCGAGCTCAGAGCGGCTACTAGATTTGCGTGAAAAAGCAGCGTTGGATTTAGACGTCCATACAGCATCTGGTCACAAGGTAAGTCTGCATTAGTAATTTGCATCTAACACAAACAGTATGTCAGTTTTGAGGCAATGTGTGGGGTTCTCTTTGCAGTAATACCCCTAATGCTCTTTTTAGTAGGATTATATTGTCCTTCGTGACATAATTAAATCACTGGCTCTGCGTGTTTTCAGGGATATGAAGCTGGTTGCAGGGTTAGCCGTGCTATGGCTGTGGGTTGCAGAGGCCGTGGAAAACTGCCCCAGTGATTGTAAATGCAGCCAGAAATCCAGTACGGAAAAGACTGAAGTCAACTGTCAAAAGAGGGGACTTCAGAGCATCCCACCCAAACTCCCTCTGGACTCATGGATCCTAAAAATGGGTGAGCAGGAACGTTCTCAGTAATAGTGCATGGATCTTCATGTAACCTTAATTCACTGCTTACCTGTTCATAAATGTACCATATTTTTATCCAGAATACCACGTGTATCTATACTAACATTCAAAGTTTGGGGTTCAGTAAGTTTATTCAGCAAGGTTGCATTCAATTCTGGTCCCTAGATACAGCACAGGTTTCTTATTCAAAATATATGTAATATTCTTTGCAGAATCATGGGTAATGTAGTTTTTCACCAGGAACAGGTTAAACATGCTGAAATAATGCAGGCTGATTGCTTCAACAAAAGCATACCATCATTTAACAACCTTGCAGTTCAGTTTTTAATGGTCAATTATTGTTAAAAATCAATTCCCCTTTGGAGAAAATGATTGGGAATTTTACTTCCGGGACCTGACTGTTGCACTCAAGTTCTTAACCCTATGAACATAGTGATTTTTGCTTCAGCACCACCAATTAAACCCTCCTCTTTTGCTTCCTTTTGTTTATTTATTTTCAAGGTGAAAATTTTCTGCAGGACCTCCCAGAAAACATCCTGACCTCCGTCCCAAAAATCGAGAGCGTAAACTTGGAGCGAAACTCAATCAAATCAATAAACCCTCAAGCATTTGCGGGTGCCCAGCGATTGATGCTTTTGAATCTGCAAGGAAACCGAATGTCTAAACTTCCAGTAAAGGGCTTCAAAGACCTCCTAAACCTACGCTTTCTCATGCTGGGCCAGAATCAGATAGCTAGCCTGAAACCTAACATGTTTATTGGCATGAGGAACCTCTCAGAGCTGGATCTGCCCCTGAACGCCCTCACTGCCCTCCCTCCAAATGCATTCAAGCCTCTGATTGCCCTCAAAGTTCTGGACCTTGCCTTGAACCGCATCCAAAGGATCTCGCCCAAAGCCTTTGTTGGACTTGAAGAGCTGCTTTTTCTCAACTTGGACAACAACAAGCTGAAGAATATTCAAGCTGGGACCTTTGGTCCCCTGATTGGTCTTGAGATGCTGGTACTGGACAACAATTTGCTCTCCACACTTACCACGTCCACACTAGAAGGTCTTTCCAACCTGCAGGAGCTCTATATCAGAAAGAATGAAATTGAGAGCCTGCCAGCTGACTTATTCCGCCACACACCTAAACTTACTCATGTGGGCTTAAGTGGGAATCGACTTCATGCCATTGATGGCAACATGCTAGCCAACATGCAAGGTAAGAATTAGGATTTTTAAAATGGACTGGGTTGCCTGAATGACCAGCTGACTATCAGTTCTAAGGAAACACTATATTATTAGGCTGGTTTCAGGTTCCCCGACACAAAACTTGTTTCTTAGGGGCCGTTGCCATAAGACATGCTTCTGCGTTTATCTAGATGGAGTACAATGTAATAGAACAGAATATAGGTGTCTCAAGATGATTTTTACAGTCAACATAATTGCTAGTAGAAAAAAAGTATGTAACATGGTATGATGACTCAAAAAATTCTCTATTGTTTGGTCAAACATGAAAACATTTACTTTTTTATTCTTATCTGTTAAGTGTAACACGTTATTCAAATCTCTGATTGATTCAGGGTTGAAGGAGGTGTATCTGCACGATAACCCATGGAAATGTGACTGCAGTATCAACTCGCTGGTACATTACGTAGCCCAGACGAGGGCTAATCATTCGCCTCTGCAAAGACTTCGGTGCATTAGCCCAGAAGAGTTTCGTGATAGACCCATTCACCAGCTGAAAGCTGAGGAACTTCCCTGCAGGGCCTAGAAAATCCCCAAGTCTGGATATCATATCACGTGCGACCTCCAAAAGTTGGAAGCGTAGCACAATAACAGAGTGATATTTTCTGTAATTGAATAGTGATGCTTCACATAACTCCAACCACAATGACTTTGACAGGTTAATGATAGTGCTGCTGTTCTGCAGATTTCTTAACTTTCACCCACACCAGACCACCTGGAGAGGCTCTCAGCAGTACATCCTACAAAACTAAAGGAAGAACTGTGCATCTGGTATTCCCAATACAGAAGAAATGTCAATTTTTTTGTAATAGAATAATAATATATTTTCACTTTCAACTTAATATTACAAATGATTCTCTTAAATGCATTATTGATCCAAAGTGTTTTTTATTGTCCTTCAGCATCAACATAGAAGATGCTCTCAAAATATAATCCCTCTAAATAATATTAGTAGGTGAGTATAACTGCTGTATTTTTTATTTAATGTCATTCAACCCATGTTTACAATTAGTTATCTATATGATGTATACAGTATATACACAATAAACACATCTTGAATCTGCGAATGCATATGTGCAAATGATTTTTTTTTGTTAGAAGCAGTGAAGCTTAAAGGAAATAAATAGAGGTTAGAAAATCCCCTCTTGCTCAGAGACCGACTGCAAACTTCCACCACCACCTGAGACTGAATTCCTCATCGGATTGTTACAGCTGAATAAGCTTCCTTTGAAATCATCATTCTGTCTCTAAATTCCACCCAGGGCGCTGAAGCTGCAGTCCCACATTTCAGATGCTGGGAAGGTGTTACAAAGCAAGCTGCTTTAAAACTTCTGCTTCAGTACTGCTACAGTTTACTGATATTAAATCGAACTGGTGGAACAGCATTTCTAAAATGTATTCATAAAAATTAAATAAAAAGACATTAAATCGGATAATTAGACATTACAGGAGATTAGTCACACATTTAAACACACACAAACATGTATCTATGTTATAAAATATACACATACACAAGCTACAGTGTTTTTGTTGTATATTTTGATGACTGATATGTCCTAAAATACTACAAAAACACTAAAGCATGCATGCAATGTTTTCACACTCTGATGACTGTATATCTACAGTCTAACTTTCAAAACAAAATTACTGGTGCATTATGCTTTTGTGCATAACAAGATGCTCCTTTAACACCTAATTTCCCCCAGCGTTGCCATGGTAACCGTTGCTTATAGTAGGGAGCTCCTGCGGATGCTTTACCCCTCACTGCATCAGCCCCTCAACCAGCTGTTACAGACTCAGAGTCCTCTAACCAGCTCGCTTTCACTAGTAGATTTACAATGACAAATTGGCATGATTCTGGCATCAAATAAACAGCTTTACAGCAGCTTACATTAATCACAGCTTGAGAAAACCCACTTGAATCACTGAATATATCTACATTAGCGGGAATGCCACTGAGATGGAGATAAACTGTGCTTACTGTTGTAGTGCAGAGTATTGTAGTAGTGATGTCATTGGTAAATTTACTTCACATTGAGGCCATATTCGACTGAGATTACACAATCGATTTAATAGTGATGACCCTTATTCATCACATAGCATGGATGTTACGTCCTTTTTTAACCCCTACAAGACCCATTTAACCCATTCTTCCTTTCTTTTAGGACTGTATGACCTAGCTTAATAGGCAATCTAACATTTCATTCCCCCAAAACACGGATTTGTTCAAGCTTTACTAAACCCTGATGAATGGGCGGCAGTGTTCTTTGGTGTTTAACCTTTTTAATATTTGAATATGATTAAGAAACCAATTTCAGCCTTTAATTAGAAGCATGCCATTTTAAAGGTACAGCCTTTTAAGAATGAAACGCTACACTTGCTTGCTGCCTTTTCTAAATAAATTTAGACGAAAATGCCCAGGAGGTTGCCAAAATGATCTGTAATCTTGAGGCTTATTTTCGAAGTGAAACATCCCCACAGCATGATGCTGCTATCACCATGTTTCACCGTAGGTACGGTATTAGGCCAGGTGTTGAGCCATTTTAGTCACAGTGCTTGGCATTCAGGCTGAAGAGTTTAACGTTTATTTCATCAGACCAGAGGATCTTTTTCGTCAGGATCTTAACTGCTGTTTGCCAAACTTTTCTTTTTAACTTAAGACTGATTACCATCTAACAGTTTAACATAATGACTTAATGATTAATGAAACCATATGCAGAGATGGTTTTTCCCATTCCAGTAGGCACAGCAGGAGCTCTAGTAGCCTGTAGAGTGTCTAATTGAGTTGTCGGTCACCTTGTCTACGTCTACAGCCACTGGAAAGGTGCAGAATTGTCTTATTTTGTCACTTCCAAAATGATTTCATTTTCTTTCCATCTGTGTTCCATCAAGGGTAGAAATTTGTAGTTAAATTGAATTGACATAGAAAAGTGCATTTCAAAAATCTAGAAATATATATCTCTTCCAGACAAAAACAGAGCAGCTAAAGTAAAGTGTCAGCATTTTCACTCTTTTCATTGCGCACTTGTGAAATTTGTACATTATTTCTAATCTAGCATGGAAGGAATTTTGTTAAACGTTGTTTTACCTTGATTGTTTGATTTTTTTAAGGGATATTTCATCCAAAAATGAAAATTTTTTGCAAACCTGTATGACTTTCTTTCTTTCTATAAGACGATATTTTGAGAAATGTTCGTCTTTTTTTTTGTTTGGAATTCATTGGGCACCAAAACTGGTTATCAACATTCTTCAAAATATCTTCTTTTTTGTTTCATAGAAGAAAGTAAGTCATAGATGTTTGGAATGAAACAAGGGTGAGTAAATTATGACAGTTTTCTTTTTTGGGTGAACTATCCCTTTAAAGGGGTCATATAATGCCATTTTTGTACAAGTTAATATGAATGTTTAGGGTCTAAATGAAAACTTTGTAATATACTTTTATTAAAAAATTCTCATTAGTATTTTAAGAAAACACTAATCTTACCTGGTCAAAAACAGCTCTGTTTTCAGCACGCCGTTTCAGTGCATATGCGTTTAAATGATAATGAGCTTCGCTCACTCCGCCCCTCTGTTCTGCGGGCGTTTTGACACAACACATGTGGCGTGTTGCCTTGACAACAGTTAGGGGTATATTTTGGAGAAAGAATGGCAGCGGGAGTCTCTGAGGACACATCTGTGCAACCGTATCAGTTTGAACCGGAGTCGGACCCGGAACAAGAGAACGGCCCGAAGAAGTTCGACAATTAAGGCTCGAACAGGACGTTTCTGAATGGTTGGTTAACGCAATGTCACTTTGATCTATCTTTGTATGTACTGGCAGGGTAGAGTAGTGAGATACGAACGCTATGTGTTTACTGATGTATACGTTAGTTCATTGACTGATTGACGTTACAACTAATGGTCATGAAAAGCTTTTTTCGCGATTTGCAAAGATTAATATAAAGGTTAATAAAAATTTACACTCACTTCTTCTGGAAGTGCAGAGGGAACATGAATAGTTGGTACCGATTCTTTTTTCAGGAGCAGCTTCTTAGCAAAACCAGCTTTATACTGACCCTCGTTTATAAAGCAGTCTGGTGAGAAATGATTCGCACAAACATGAAAGCATTGACGTTGATCGTCATCGTGGGGAATATTCCCTTCGAAAACAAAACTCAGCCACTTTGTCTTCAGCGGTTCGGATTTAGGAACATCAAAATGGCTGCTGTGTTCGTTATTACACCCAAGAACAGAACACCACAATCGCTTAGACGCCATTCTGCTCCAGTGTATCAACAATGGCGGACTATGATGACAGCTCGCTCAGGGCGGGTCTGTGTTGAAACGCTGCTGTCCATCAACAATCGTGGGAGGGGGTCCGATCTATTGACGTCACATGGTTGAGCGGCTCGATTTGAGACAGGGGAAAACATATAAGGAGATTAAAACAAAAACACTGGATGGATTTTTATCATTATTTGATGGTTGTGTACAGGCACTGCCAACACACATTTCAGTACAATCAACTTGAAAAAGTGCCTGTACCATTATATGACCCCTTAAGACAGTATAGTATCTAATGAATCACTAATCAAATAAGATACTGTTAATGATAAAGCACTGTGTTTGTGTGAATACGACTCCCAAAAGTCAAGTTTTTTTACTATAAAGTTTAAAATAAGCTCTTGGGAAACATCTCTGTCTTCGTCGTGAACACTGATCCTTGAGGGAAAAAAAACATTAAGGGATGTTTTGTAGGTGCAGAGAAGTCTTTCATGGTTGGTGATGATTACAGCACAGTAAAATTCAACAGCAGCATACCTCTGGATTCACTGTTTGCAGAAAAAGATACTAATGATGTGCCTTGTGTAAAAAAAACTCCCACTGACTAGCGACAACAAAGAAACCACATTAAAGGAAGGGGGCTTACATTGTCTCGCAGCTCTTATATGCAGGTTGTGGAGTATAGAATTTTTTTGTTTATCTGCATGCAGTATTGTAAGTTGCTCTGTAGATTTTGTAAGTTTAAATGAGAAGGGAAGTTTAAGCATTTTCACCCAGTGGAATAAATTGCTCAAAAACAGTTCATATTTTACCGAAATCAATATACGTTTCACAATAATGTCTCTTTAAACAAATGCAGTGCTGCTCATGTTATCATACAGACAAATGTTTCCAAATATTCCTCCGCTTGAGATTCTGACAGCTGATGTCTGTCTTTGAAGGAGCAGTTCAGGGTTAAGCGTGACTATATTCAATGGAGGCACTTGACTTGCCTCATGAGTCATTGACTTAAGCCTTACACTGCAGTTACGTAAAATACTGGCTCACTAACAGGCTCTGACGGCTTTAGCAGAACTTCAGCTGAGATTTTCTTATCTGTTCTCAACTTCGTAGCTTGGCAAATGTTTTATGATAGAGGTGTTATGTTAATTTTATCCAAGTCTTGCTGAAACTGGAACTGGTTGTCGGGTGGTCTGAACATTTCTTTGGCTCTTGGTTTAGCCTGAATTAGTATTAGATCAACTGGCTGTCCAAAAAGCTCTGTGTACCAAAATGACTTTAGATTATATGTTTATTAATATGTTGCTTATTGATCTTTGTACAGTTAAAGGGACATTTCAGGCAAAAATGAAAATGTCATAATTTACTCACAGTATTGTTCTTTTTTTCTTCAAGATAATGAAAGTGATTGAGGACAGGGATTGTCAACTTCAAAATGACAAAAGCACCATAAAAGAAAGTGTTCATGAGAGAAGCAATGTCCAATTTGTAATAGATTGATCCAGTTCAAAAAACATTCTAAACGATTCGTCCATGAATCGGTCTGATCCTGTTCTCAAATTCAACTTAGATATAATACTTATGTAATAGTTTGATGATGATTTTGCAACCGTTTTGATGCTCCTTAAATTATCATAGAAATGAGA